TCCAACGCTTACCCCACCTAGAGAGAAGGCAGGACTGCTGCGAATGCGAAGCCTTTCATTCTTCATTGACATGATCTTGGAAGGAAGACAGGTTCTCCCTGTAGTGCTTCATTAGAATAAGCATTTCATATGCTTATCAGTACAGCAAGTAGCGCTGCTTGACAGCAGTGGAGAGTCAAATGTTGCCTTGGAGCCCTACACGCTCATTTCCCCGCTTCCGAAACACTCTGCATTCTGCCCACTGTGCATTCAGAAGCGTTCCTTTCCACTGGCTTGAAAGAAGCTAAAAACCACTTTGTAGCAGGCACCTTTTCCAGCACGATTCCAGGTGTGGATTGGAGTTGGCTGAATCCAGGCTGAGTTGCTGAGAACTTCACCCTGCCAGGTTTTGTGAGTTCCTGCCAGGTCTTGGGGGTAAGTGGGTCAGGGAGCTGATCACTTCTAGGTTAATTGTCTCCTACTTTCAGCTCCCTGAGCTGCTTCAGGTGAGAAATCAAGTGGGAAACCAGTGCTGATAAAGGGAAAGGTGTGAATGAGCTGGGAGGCAAAGAGGGATGAGACCTCAGCATGGCAGGAATTACAGTGACTGGAACAGCCATGGGGCTGACATGGATGTCCAAGCTCAAATTTAGAAGAGAATCACAGAATTATTAGGGTTGGAAGGGACCTCTGGTTACACAGGAATGTGTCCAGAGAGGAATGTCTCCAGAGAGGGAAAATCCATGACCTCCCTGGGCAGCCTGTTCCAGTGCTCTGCCACCCTTAATGTAAAGAAGTTCTCCTTCATGTTGAGGTGGAACTTTTTGTGTGTTAATTTATGGTCATTGCTCCTCATCCTGTTGCTGGGAACCAATGAAAAGAGTCTGGCACCATCATCTTGACACCCACCTTTGAGATATTTATGTGCATTGATGAGATCCCTTCTCAGTCTTCTCCAGACTAAACAGGACCAGCTCTTGCAGTCTTTCCTCATAAGAGAGATGCTCCAGACCCCAGATCATCTTTGTGACCTCCATTGATTCCCCTTATGTGGGAATCTTCAGATTTCAGTTCAGTAGCTGCTCTGTCTGGTGTGATCCAGGGTACAGAGTATGGATGGGAGTGAGGGAAGGGCTGGAGTAAATTTGGTGGCTAAATGAGCCAAGGCAATGGTAACAGGGTCTTGCTTTACCAGCTCTGGTTCCTGGTACCTAGAAGAAGTGGCATCAGTTGGTTTTGGTGTGTGAGTGGACACAGGAAGCTCCCCCACATTTATTCCAGCTGGAGCCCCTATGGCAGCTTTATTGTTTTTAGATTAGATAACATCAGATCTGTGCAACTTTATCCTTTTTGACCATCAAACAGTGGGGAAGCTGAGCACACAAGCCAAATTATGTCTGTGTTGGCTCCTTTAGTGTCAAAAGGCAGTTCTTTAAGGTGTTTTAAATAGGAAGATATTACATGAAGGATGGTTAAAAGGGAAGGGTTGTGTTCCTATAGGAGGCTGAGTATGAGGATTTGGTGTATCATCTTGCTGTGCAGCCTAGTCTGGGAGCTGCTGTGGATTGTTCCCAGTGGGAGTATGGGATGAGGAGAAGCTTTCTGCCAAAGCTTCTTGCTTAGGAAATTCTGGTGCTGTTATAGGTGTCCTGGCGGGTGTTTGAGAGGGAGGGAGGGATGACTAGGCTGGGAAATGGCAGAATTGCCTGTCTGGTGAAATATAGTTTTAGAGGCAAGTATCATGTAACAACCTAAACTCGAGCTCAGTGGTGGGGGAATGGACTTGGAACTCGGTTCTTGCAAGAAAACAAAACTCTATATCTTTATAATAAGGCCTCAGCACTGTGTTGTTTCCCCCCCCCCATCATAATGACTGTTTCTTGGTATTAACTCCTCTGAGTTCCCCTCTGAAACACTTGCTGCTGCTTTCTCCTGCATCCTGGCTGTGCTGCTGCTCTTTGCCCAGCCATGTCCGGTGCCATGTCCCTGTGGAGCATCCTAAGGCTTGCCCTTGTGTGGAGGTGGGGTGGTCAAATGTGTTTTCACACATGTTTTTACCAGCAGGGTGATTGCTGCTCAGATCCAGTCCCGAGGCCACGGCCTCCTTTCTAGAAAGTAAATTTTCTGAGAGGATGTGCCCACCCTTTGAACTCCTTTGTTGATGGGTTACTGTTGCTACAGCTAAAACACACTTGTTCTTGCGGTGAAGCTTTAGTTCAAAATATCAAAAGCTTTAGTGCTTTTTAGTGCTGCACAGATGAGGAGACCTTGACCCCCCCTTCATCCACTCTGGCTGAGTTAATACATTTGTTTTCCCGAGCTGCAGCAGCATTCAAACCTGACGATAAGACGGGGAATTCTGTGGGACCGAACTGCCGTCCGTGGCTGGGAGGATGTGATGCTTTACTGCTGCCAAAATCCGAGTCCTTCCCACATCTTGTGTACGAAGGCATATGTTTGGGGGTGGCTTCAGAAAGGGAGAACAACACCATTATGTTTTTAACTTCCTCTCCTGTTTTGTTTCTCTGTGCATCTGTATTTCAGTTTTTCTCTGTGCAAAACTAGCAAATCGGCTGAAGCACCTACTGCTAAAGATCAGCCTTGGTACAGAAACAGTGGTAATTAAAAGGCAGTAAGTATCTTTGCTAGCTTGGATGCTGATTTTTTTTTCTTTTTATTTTCCTTCTTTTTTTCCTTTTTTTTTTTTTTAATTCACAAGCACAGCTTTTTACTCCTCACACAGTAGGAATTTGTCAGGGGCTTGCTGGCATTAATAGCCTATTTCAGCTCTTTTCTATGGCCCAGCAGCTATAGAGGAGGGGAAAAAGCATGCTTTGTATGGAGCTGTGGTTGGAGCTGTGCTGCAGTGCCCATCTGAAGTTGCCTGTGTCTATTTTGCCAGCTTTTGCCTCCCTCTAGTAGGTGCTGGTTCCTTCCTAAACACATGACATCCCACTGTATGATTCCTGTGCTTGGATCAGGGTTGTGGCTGCTCCTGACCTGAACCCCTTCTTTTCATGGTTTTGCTTCTCGAGCTCTTCACAAGATACCTTTGGGTTTCAGTTTTTTGTCTGGCTTTTATCTTTTACTTCTCAGTTGATCCCCAAAGGAGTAGGACTAGCACAAAACATATGGTGTTTCTAACCAGGGATACATGGGAGGGAGTTCTAACTCTTGAAAAAGTGAGTGGCATTCTTGAAATGGTGTGGTTGCGTTTATTTGGGTGTGGATATAATCATGTTTTTTGTGATACAGCTCCTGCTGAGTCTGAAATGCTAGTGTCAGTAAAGCCAGAAGGAAAGCCAGACAAAAGCTTGGAGAAAAGTCAGGATTTCAGTGCCTCTTACTGATGGTTCATGGGAAAGTAACGATTTTGTGTTTAACTTTGATTTTCCCAAAGCACTAGGCACATGCTTTTTTTTTCCCTCTGTGAATTACTGTTTGTGAAAATGTATTTTACAGCCCACAAAACATCAGAAACAGCTGATTTTTTTGTGCCTAGGTTTTGCTCGTAGGGGTAGGTCCTTGTTACAGACCCTGGGTAGTCTAATGAAAGTGGTGTTTAACTACAAAGCTTCAATTTCTGCTAATCATGGCAGCCTGACTCCTGGTATTCCTGAATTCCCGGAGCTGAGGACATGCTCTCATCCCCCTGCTCTGCCAGTGCAATGCCTCCATCTTCTCCACCCGACACGTTTCTTAGCCTTGTGTAGAACTCAGCAGAGATTTCTCCATGAGGACTGGAATGTGTTTATATAATATTTTATATATTATTTTAGGCTCCTGCTACTCAAATGTAGGCAAATGATTAACCTCTCCATCACCATCAGTAGACGAATCGTGGAATTGCCGTAGCAGAAAGTCAAGTAAGATGGGTCTAAACCAGCTTCTGTTTTTTCCTGCCTGGAAAATTCATCCTTTGTGGCTTTCTCAGCAAGTGTGGCTACCAAGAGCAGCTTTTCCAGGCCAGGAGTGTTTAGTGGGAGCACTGAGTTGGAACCACACTGGTCAAGCACTGGTTGGTGTGTAGGTTGGGGCTCTTCTGTGTGGGAGGTGTTGGGAGGGGGTTGATGTGAGAGGCTCCATCTCTGCAAAAGCAGGAGTAGGGCAGCAGCAGGAACGCTGGGCAAAGCTGCTGAAAAGGAGAGAACAACCTGCTGCACTAAATCACAGATCCCCTGGGGACACAGCTCTATGTTTAGCATCCTCAAATGGCATTCCTTTATTACGGCATCATTGAGCGTGGTCCTCTAGAGAGGAAGCAAACGGTCTCTAAAACAATCTGCTGGCAACTCGGGCTGGAGCATTTGAGGTTTTCCAGGGCTCTTCTGCTGTGTCACTCTTCCCTTTAATGTTCCAGCTCGAAGGTTGTTGTTCTTTCGCCGTCAGAGTCCGTTAAGGCGCCGGTAAGAGTATCTGCTCCAAGGACAAGGTGTAGAAGGCAGTGAGAACAAGAGATACTGCAGAGCAGTGTTGTTTTTTGGTGTAATCTGCCTTATCAGCATGTGATGCAAAGACAGGGCAGTTTTCACAGGACTTGGAGGCTGCGTGGTGACATGTTTTCTGTCCTGTATGAAATCCACCACGTTATTTTGATTAGAACACTAACGTAACTCCTGGCAGCCTCAAATCTTACTGCCAGCAGCTATTTCCCTCCAAAGCCCGGTGCAGTGCTAACAAGCAGAAGGATCTCTCGTGTGTCCTGTTTACGAGGAGCTCTGCAGGCGGAGGTGTTCCGTGGGAGGTAACAAGTTAGCGCTGTAGCCGTGTATATAAGGTGGAAAAATGTTGTGTGTGCAGACAGGCTGTTGTGTTAATTTGTGTTTGATGGTGTTCAGAAACTCCAGCTGCAATAACGGCATGATGATGTTAAGTTCTTTTATATATAAACGTATATATTTTGTATCTGTGCATGCACATATGTGTATATATATATTTTGTCTCGTGGGAAAGTCCGTGTTTGGATCATCGGTGCTTCAGCTGCTGCTGTACTTGAATGTGATTTTCTTATGTTTGTTCAGTTTTTAGGTGGCAGAGACACGGTGAAGCTCTGTGTGGGGCAAGGAGAGCTGATGGGGGAGCCTGGGGTGTGACCCAGGATGGACTGGCTGTGACGGCGTGCCTTAGCTGGAGAGGTAGTTACCATGAAGAGTTCCTGCAGAGCTGGCCTCCACAGGGAACCGCTGAATTCCACATCCTCCACCTTCCACCAGGTCAAACGGTATGAACAGGCTGGCCTGCCTCCAGCTGACTCTTCAGCACTGACTGAGCCTTCTCCTTGCCTTCCTATTGTCTTGTCACTCAACTGTTCGGTCCAAATTCTTCCTTTCGGATGGTGTTTAAGTGAAACGCTGTAATGGCTTAAGGGCAGAAATGTTCTTTTGACGTTTTTATTTGATAATGACAACTTCAGATTCCCTACAGCTGGCAGGGTGCTTGGAGAAATCCTTGGGTTTTTTAGCAACAGCTGTAAATTAGTTTGGGAACACGACTTTGAAGTAAAACTTAATTGGCGAGTGGCTCGTCAGAGGAGGCTTTAGAACACACAGTCAGCTTAGAGCAAGTGGAAATGCTGGCACTCATTGTTGTGGTTTGTCTTACTATGGAGTAAGTAATTAGATTAGTTTAAGCTCAGATTTTGCATTGCCCACTCTCCTGTGTCTCTTATTAAGAAGAAATGCACGATTGATTTCAAACACTTGTGCTTATGTGACAATTAAGTGAACGCCTCTCACTGTGTCTCGTTATAGGAACAACGGGCAGAACAACTTGTCCTTATGCAAATGCAAGAACATGCTGGTTTGTTTGAGTTCAGACTACTTCAAAATATATGTATCTTCTTTTCTTTTTCTTCTTTTTTTTCTGAAAGCAAGGCTCCTAAACTTCCTCAGCCTGGCGGAAGAGCGCCAGCTTTTCGGTTTCCAAAAGCTGTGTGGGTTTAAAGCAAACTTTTAACCTTTGTTCTTTGTGGTTGTGTAGACAGCATATACTTGCTATGTTAGTCTCATGGTAATTTAGTGCTGGAAAAGACTTCCTGGGTCACCCAGCTCTTTGCTTTCCCAAGCAGTAGCTCATAATCCCTTTTGTGAACTTAGTCTAGCCTAAAAACATTTACATCTTTTCTTACATCTCTTCTTCTCTCCTCCAGTTTATTAAGCCATTACTGAAGATGACAGATCTAGCTGTGCAATTAGGAACCTTCTTTTGATTCCCAGACTAAACATTCATGACAGTTTACATGCTTATTTGAGTTTCTGTTCCTTTATTTTCCTTCTGCTTTTCTTCCCACTTCTTATTTTCAGTGGTTTACCTCTCTTGCTGCATTCTGTAAAATGGGGTTGTGACCCTCACCTGTGGTTTTGTGGTGCTAAATGACCCAAGTTTTCTCAAGTAGCTTCTTGAATAACAACTGTTGTTGTCCTCAGTGTGGATACATCTCAATCCTGGCTAAAATTCTCTGCTGTGCTCCAGGGCAGATCTGGCTGGAGGGTTTTCTTGCTGCTGCCTCAAACGTGTGACAGAGTCACCTCCACTTACTTGTTTCTATGGTGGCCAATTCACCTTAGTTACTTCCAGAACTCCTTGGTGTTCCTCTTGCTGGTGCATCACTGCCTGTATTTCAAAACCCTCCTCAGTTTCTGTGACTTGGAGCTTTGTGCCTCTGCTGTTTTGGAGCTGCCTCCAGTTCTGTGGGTGCAGTATTTGTGCTGAGGTCATTCCTAACAAAATCAGATGTTCCCCAGGCTGATTCTTGAGGCATGCCTTTGGTTTCCAAGCTGGTATTTTCTTATTCAGCATCACCTGGGGCTGTCTGCTGCTAAGCCAGCTCCTTTGTCTGTTTTCCCATTCCTCTGCCAATCTGTCTTCACCAGTAAATCTCTTTGTGCTCTCTGAAGACCATGTGAGTAAGATATAGTAGATTTGTCTAAAATGATCACTTTTTTTTGAAAACCTTGAGGTTAGTCTGGCATTTTGAAGTATTCCCTCTTCCCCCTTTTTCTCTGTGTCACATTAATCCTCTTTGCTTGCAAAGCACCTTTATATTGGAGTCAGAATACCAGCCCTGGAGAGGCTGCAATCATTCTCCCTTCTCTTTCTCCCCTGCAGTGCCCCCTCCAATGTGCCACATGTTTATTATCTCCCATTGTTGCCTTTCAAGAGGTTTATAAATCCTGTTTCTTGGCCTGCAGTGCGTGAGCCTATCTGTTTTGGATTCTAAAACTGAGATGAGCCAATCCTCACAATTTTTATGAAGCTCTTTAATCCTCCCCCTGCCAATGTTCTTGTTCAGATTAACGCCTGGGCTTTTGCCCTCACGATCGCAGTTACCACCCCTCTTTAAAAATGATGCAAAGTCAATTTTGGTATTTTGTGTAGCACTTGGAATACTCTTAATCTCTGCCCTGCCCTTGCTCGCAGCCCTTTTTCTCTCCCAGTCCTTTCTCACAAACTGAGGAACCTTTCACTATTTCTTTGTTTTCAAATATCTCTGCAGTGACCTAACGCTGCACCACTTCTCATGTTTATCCCTGGACTTTTTGAGCTCCAAGATACGAGTTTCTAAGTGATGTGACTTGAAACCTGCGTCTGCTTCTTGTATCCTTCACGAAAAAGGATCACATCCAGTTGGAGTTTCTTCAGTTCTTGTTTGGGACGTGTTCTTAATAATGAAAACACCTTTTGGCTCCTGGAGAAATCTGTCTGCAGTGAAATCTTCTGCACCACATCTTGAACTTCATGAACCAGTTCCTTTCAGTCTTGAGTTTCAAAAGAGCAACCTTATGACTTGCTTTCAGATGTACTTTCACTTATTCTTTTCTTTTGAACGCCGAGTCTCCGACTGATCGTGTGGTCCAAGGTTAATTTCTACAACCTTTCATGTGTTCTCATTACAATATGCACAAAAATGAAGGCTATAAATAGCATCACTTTGTGTTGGTTCGTTAGCTGTTTGAAGAAATTCATGTTGTGCCATGATGTGAAGAAAGGTCTTGGTCCTGTTGCTGTTAATAAATCAGAAAACAAATGTTAAAGTAAGAGAGGTAAAAGACTTCCAGAAGGAAGCATATCACGTATCTGTGCTGCTCTGGGCAGCTTTAAGCAGAAGATCTATAAAACCACCACTGTTTTTCTTACTGTCCTTCTGTGATTTCTTCTCATCTCAGCCTGTTCCACCACAGGCACGTGGTTGTCTTTGAGCTACACGTTTCTGGAGCAGCTTATAACCTTGAACACCAAATCTGTCAGTTCATTTTGTTCCCTTCTGCTTTGTGTCATCCCTGTGTCATCTCCAGTGTGGTTGGGAAGCAGGGAGCAGGGGTTTGAGGTTCCTGAGGCTCAACAAAGAACCGCTTCTACGTCACTCGCTTCACGGTAAGTGCTTTTATACAAAAGCCTGGCAAAGCAGTGGCACTTCTTCCTGTATAAACTTTAGAAAGTAGCCAAGTTGACTGTGCTTTACGTTGAAGAGTGTGTGGGTGTTTAGTATAAAATGTGTCCAGAACATTAATGGGTGGGAGCCCTCGAACTGGAGTGGTGTGTGTGGGGCTTGGGTGTGTGTTGTGTCACCTGAAACCTCTGTGTGGTGAGGATGATGGACTTCATGCCTGTGTGCAGCTACATTTGGGTGCTGTCTCCCCCAGAGTCAGGTTATTTGAACACCTGATGGGGTGAACACTCAGTGTTAGGTGTTTTCTTTGCATTCAGTTCCTCAGCTCTTTTGGGCCAGCTCTGCCCCACGTTTTTGGCTTGCTCCCGCTTCCCCCAGGCTGGCCACTTGGACAGAGAGCTCTCCCTCAGCAGCCAGATACCTTCTGTTTGCCTTCAAATCCCGTAAGAATCCTTGCTGGCTCTCTGAGAGATGCAAGAGGCATTTTGCAGGCGCTGGGAGGTGGGTCTGGAGCAGCTGCTGCTCCGAGGGAGTGGGTTTTCTAGAAATCAGATGCCTCCACAGCTGCCGGTGTCGAACCTGCCCCAGCTCCGGAGCGTCGTGCTTCCCAACCCGCCCTTCTCCGAGCTTGGACACTTGCCACGTGCCAGAACAAGCTCCAGTGAGCAGCAGAGCCTCTTCCATCCCGGCTGCTCAGCTGGGACTTTCCCGCCCCGGCAGAATCCGTGGAATGCCTTTGAAGCAGCTCTCTGTCTGCTCTGCCTTGCCCTGGCAGTGCAAAGGGGATGGAAATGGTACTGGAGACTGAGCCCAAAGGACCCACCAAGCCCTTCCAGAAATAACAAGTGGTTGACCATAGTTAACTCACATTCAGTGCTCAGTCCTTGCTAATTGTCAGTGTCCTTTACATAGGAGCTGAGCCCTGTGGACAGAGAACTGGCATGCCAGGGAGGAGAAAAGCCTTGCCAGAGGTTATGCTTGGTGTGGGTTTTTATTGTTGTTGATTTTTTTTTTTTACTCCTTTTTTTATTATTTTTCTTTTTTTGGCTTCTTCTGCCTTCTGTTAGTGTGTCCTGAGGGTTTTTTCAGAGTTGTAGCTGGCACTGGGTGCGCGGTCAGCAACGCGAGAAACTTTTGTCGACTGCAGTTGGTGTGTTTACAAGAAGAAATCCACAGGAAACTTGGGGGTTTTGATGGAAATTTTCTCCTTAACAAAACCTTGCGGTGCTTTGCCCAGAGAACTTGCAGTGTGAATATGCTGTTTGGAAATATTGTACTTTTGTTGTTGTTGTTGTTGTTGTTGTTCTTGCTGGCCAGAGGAAATCTTTCAGCTTCACAAGGTCATCATGAGAGTCCGTGACAGTGAGAGGCATTAAGGTTCTTTGTGGACCTCACAAAGGAGTTGTAAAAACTGAGCCTTTTTTTACCAGTTTTCCCTCCAACTTTGGAGTTTCCACTAAAGCAAATGTATTATTTTTTTAGGCTGCTGTGATTTAGGACATATATAAGTACAAAAGGATGCAGGAAGATTCTGGCCAGCTTGGCAAGTAAGAATCATGGAATGATTTGGCTTGGAAGAGACCTCAAAGACCATCTCATTCCAACCCTTCTACCATGGGCAGGGACATGTTCCACTAGCCCAGGGTGCTCCAAGCCCTATCCAGCCTGGCCTTGGACACTTCCAGGGATGGGGAGTCCGCAAGTGGGTCTTCAGTGGGAAGAGGAGAGGCTTGTGTGTGTGTGTTTGTGCTCATATAAAGGAATATATTTCTGTATCAACAATGTGGAGTAACTAACTTGATAAAACTACAGTGGAAACAAGCTGTAGTTATGACTTAGGAAAACAGCAGTGTCATTCCAGCAGTGCAAGTATCCTGTTTTTCAGACACAGCTGATTAGAAATAGAAAAACTGGCCCCTTTATTTCATCAGCTTAAGGATGGAATAACAGCATGAAGGCAGCACTGCTCGTTGTTTCAGTGCTGATCATTCCTGGCAGAATTCTCTCTTATCAGCAATTTAAAACCGCACATTTGGGATTGAAAACCTTTTTATGTGTGCTCTGTGGACTTCTGAAGAGTCATTGTCTCTAAAGATAAAATTAGAAAGCTTGATAACTTAAAGGGTGGAGGAAAGCAAACAGAATTATTCTGGAATTAAGTTTCATAGGGAATTGTCAGTGACTTCACCTTTTAGCAACTATTTTTGGTGGTTTTAAATATTTAAAAGCTTTACCTGCAGCTGCCACAGTTCTCCACTTGCCAGCACTGAGATGTTGCAGAAATAGGGGAGTCTGTGGGTGGGGACTGGGCTCTGGTTCATCTTCAAAGCAATTTCTGCTGGGAAGGCTTGTTCTAATTCTAGGAGCTAGAGATGAAATGTGCTGCTGATGTGCAGGGAAGAAGCTGTGTTTGCCTAAAAGTTCGTTCTTAATATCCACAGCAAAGCGCGTGTGAGGTGGGGGCTCGTTTTTTCCAAGTGACACTTTCAGGTAAGGTCCATTACTAAGATCCCTTTTAAAATGGAAGTTCTCTTCCCTGCTGCTGGAAAACTGCGAGGCAGGTGGCAGCTGGTCAGGTGGAGTCTGCAGTGTTCTTTTATAGCTGTCTGAAGTTATTAGATGAAGATTTTCTTTAAATCCAGATCCATTAGAACATGTGCAATGAACTGGGTGCCGAATTCAAATGAGGCAATTATTCTGGCAGTAAAACTTCTGAGTAAGGCATAATTTTGTTATGTAAATTGTAACTTTTCAACCTTAAATGGTATTGTTGGCTGAGCCAGGGACTAACTGAAACACAGGAGGAAATATAACCTTAAACAAGGAATCTGTGATAGGTGAGGCAGAACTCTACCCTTTGTCTTTCTCCATAGACCAGAAATAGCTGGGAGCAGCTGAACCAACTTTGCTGGCTAAACGTGTCCCCTGAGCCTGTTGGGGTAACCAGTTTGGTCCTGTTTTCATTCTTATAATACCTGGTCTCACCTTCATTTGCAGCTTCTCTTAATAAAGGGTGTTGAGCCGATTGTCCTCCCGGATTCCTGAAAACTGCTTGAAGAAAGCCTTTTATGAACAAGCTCAGCTCATTTTTCAAACACCTTGGCATGAAAACTCATGAATGAAATTTGATCTTCTGCTCCTGGCTCAGGAGACTTCAGCATGCAAATCTTGTATTTAATTGCATTCACCTCTTCTCCCCAGGGTACGGTGGCGGGCGGCCACCGGAGCTTTTTCTCTCTCCCTAATCTGGGAAGCACAGCTCCAGAATGTCCTTCTGGAAGGGAAGGGAGGGCTGCAGGCACTGTTCCCTGCAGCAGTTTGCTGCAGTGCTTCACCTGCTGCTCCTCTGGGCCGGGCTTTGGCCAGGGCGCATCAGGGGCCTGACCCTGCTTCGCTAAAGTGCAGACAAAATGAGCCAGACCCTGTGGAAAATGAGGCCGGAGCAAACTCCAGCAGCCTTGATCTCCCATATTCTCTTCATGCATCTGTTTCAGCACCCTGAAGTTCTATTTTTGTGAGATTATTTCAGCTTTTAGCATCCAACTGGAGAGGCAAACAAAATAGCTCAGTCGCGTTTTGCAGAGGAGACTAAACGGGGAGGTGACCCAATTCCAACGAGCTGGAATTAGCAGGCAGGAGGCACAGGGAGAGAATTAACCCAGGAACTAGGTAGGTGTATCTGCAGCACTGGGATCTCGTACCCCCACAGTCTGTAGGTGAGATGCAGATGGTTTTGGCGCTGTCTGGTTGCAAGAATGAGGTGATGGTTTCCCTGTAAAATCCGGAGGGAGAGAACGTAGGATAGCATCATCCTTTCCAGGGTCTGCTTCCTGGCCTTCAACGCACTGTGTGGAGCAAAGGGGCATAGAAAGGTGAACTAAACCCTTCCTCTTGATATACCTCCCCCAAGCCCCTGTGCCTGCCCCTCACTTCTTATCACTAGGGCCAGAGGGAAATATCCAGGGAAAGCAATGGTTAAGCAGCATGGCTGCTCCTGGTGCTGGAGGCTTCCTCCGCTTGGGCAGCATCAGCTATAAATTTGTCAGACTTTGTAGATGTTGTGCCTTGAGGTTTTTAATTAAAAGCTGTTTTTAGGCTACAAATGCAGTGCTTAAGCAGCTGTCTTGGTGGTAGCTCTCCGGGGAAACGTGTTCAGTGCCTGAATGTGTCCGTATCGGCTCCTGATGGATGTGGCATTGAACCTGCTGCTCCTCAGCTAGCAAGCACAGATTATCCCCATTTCAAAGTGGAGGCCTTTGAGTGTAACAATTCAAAGATTACCATGGAAACATAATCTATAGTTAGTTCTGTAATATGCTTCTGTGATACTCCTGGGAGAAGAGCCTGGAGTCTCCTGATGATTGCACCCTGTGTGGCAGCGCCCCGGGCTCTGAGCTTTGAATGGAAGGTGACTGTGAGGGTGTGACAGAACGGAGGAGTTGAGTTCTGCTGCTGCAGTGTCAGCAGCATCCAAATGGTCCTTCACAGCTCTTAAATTCCTAACCATGAAAACATGTCCTTGAGAGTGGGTCTCTTCAGCTGTATGTGATGCTTCTCTCGCTTTTGGGGGGGTATCTGATGTGTAATGTAAGGACCCTTAGGAGAAAGTCACCAAATTTGCCATTATCAATATTCTAAAGGGTAAGTTTCATTGCCCAGGGAAGCTGTGGCTGCCCCATCCCTGGAAGTGTTCAAGGCCAGGTTGGACAGGGCTTGGAGCAACCTGGGATGGTGGAAGGTCTCCCTGCCCATGGCAGGGGGGTGAAACGAGGTGGTTTTTAAGGTCCAACCCAAACCATTCTGTGACTTTGGGTGGTATTAGGAATTTAGATACCCACTGGGGTCTCTGGTGAATGTAATTATACTTGCTAATTTCCCTTTTCAGCTTTAACTGTACTTTATCTGGACATCCACTATCAAATATACTCTTTTCAGGAGACGAACTCCATGACCCATGTGTACCTTACAACTAACTGGATTAAGGAATGAACAGGCAGAAGGATGCCTCTAACTCTAGAATGAACCACTGGCTATGTTTTCACAACTGAAAAACTCCAGGATTTCTCCTTGCAACAGATTTATCTAATGGGAAGTTCTCTTCTACTGCAGGAAGTTTTCCAAGGGTGGATGTTGGAGATTTGGTTGCTGTGTTTTCCTTTCTCATGTGGTTCTTCTTGAGGTGTGGGATGCTGCCTACCCTGGGCCACCTTCTCTAATTCCAGACAGACATATTTTGCAACTATAACTTCTCCCCTTTCTTTTTTTCCAGGGTCTCTGGTATGCACTTAAAGCCATATCTCAAGTTACAGAAGAAAGAGCGATCCCCAGAAATAAGCCAGGATTCCCTGCGAGGCCACCAGGGATCAGCACAAGGAGAAAAATACACCACCTGCACCAAACTGAGCGTTTTCCCAAAACCCTCCCTCGTGACTCCATCTCAAAAGCTTCTGGGGATTATTTATCCAAATACTATGTGCAATATGAACGGGAAAGGTCCAGCGGATGGTCCAAGTGCAAGGGAAAAGAAGAACGCCCTGTCTGCAACGATCCACCAGGGAGAGGAAGGGGAAGGGCCTCTGGATGTCTGGGCCGTGGTGAAACCTGGCAACACGAAGGAGAAAATCGCCTTCTTCGCGGCCCAGCAGTGCAGCAGCACCAGCCGGGTGGGCTCCATGAAAATCAAGAGCACGTGGGACATCGACGGGAGGACGGCCAAGCGCAGGAAAAAATCGGTGGACCTCAAAAAAGCCAAAATCCAACTGGAAAGGATGAGGGAGGCCAATGCCAGGTGCTCCCAGCCGGAGCCTTTTGCCTGTGGCATCGAGCACTGCTCGGTGCACTACGGGAATGACAGTGGAGAGGGGGCGTTCCCGGGCCGGTCCCTCTCGGTGATAGAGATGGTGGCTTTCCTGGAGCAGCGAGCGAGTGCTTTGCTGGTGGATTGTGCTAAAACCTGCACGGCTGCCCCTGCCACGAGGCCGAGCGCTCAGCCCAAGGGGGCCCTTCCCAGCTCCGACCCTTTTTCCTCGGCCGGGGCGTGCGAGGTGCACGCGGAGCAGCAGGGCGAGCCCGTGCGCGTGCTGGACATGGTGGCCAAGCTGGAGTCGGAGTGCCTGAGGCGCCAGAGCGAGCGGGAGGCCGGGAGCCTCTCCCGGAACAACAGCTTCCGCAGAAACGTCGGGAGGGTGCTCCTGGCCAACGGCACCCAGCCCGAGGGAGAGGCGGGGAAGGGGGTGCCGGGGGTTCTGGCTCAGGGGGATGGCTTGGGGGAGGCGGGGGTGGCAGAGGCTGGATACGGAGGTCGTTGTGGTGCTCTGGGTGACGCCGAGTTGTGGGATGGCGGCGCCTCTGCTCGGCGGCCTTTTCCTTCGGGGCTGGATACCCGGATGGGGAATGTGAATTCGGGACTTGCTCACGCGGTGCTGGCGATGGCAGCCGGCAGGAGCGACACCGAGACACGGATTGAGCCTCCCAGAGCTCTGCTGTCCTCGTGTCCAGCTCCTGCTGCCAGGCTGCCACCGGATCCCTTGCAGAGCAAAAACGCGACTGTTGATTGTACGTCGAAGGAGCCTGTGATTTTCCCAAAGCAGAGCCTGCATCCTGTGAGGAAGGAGCCCTTGTGTATCAGTATATCCGTCACCAAGACCGAGAAAGGGTGCAGGAAAGAGAAGCTCTCCAACTCCAGTTCTAGTGAGGATTCGCTCCCGGGGAGGCTGTTTTTCCTCCAGGACGACCAGCCTGCTGCTCACGAGCAACAGCCACTGCGGGAAAGTACCCAAGAGAAGCCAGGAGAAGTAGCCCAGAATGAGGATGAGGATGCTTTGGCATCCGGCAGGTTGTGTGTCAGGAGCAGTGTCCCTACAGAGCCATCGGCCCCCTCTGTCCCTCCCACAGAAGGGGCCTTGCAAGTACTTGACGCTTCCTGCCTGAAAAGGCAGGTTTCGCATGACTTTCTGGAGACCAGGTTCAAAATCCAGCAGCTTCTGGAGCCTCAGCAGTATATGGCCTTCCTGCCTCACCACATCATAGTGAAGATCTTTGGGTTGCTCCCTACCAGGAGCCTGGTGGCCCTGAAATGCACTTGCTACTACTTCAAGTTCATCATCGAGTACTACAACATCCGGCCGGCGGACTCGCGCTGGGTCCGGGACCCCCGGTACCGGGAGGACCCCTGCAAGCAGTGCAAGAAGAAGTACGTGAAGGGGGACGTGTCGCTGTGCCGGTGGCACCCCAAACCCTACTGCCAGGCCCTGCCCTACGGGCCTGGCTACTGGATGTGCTGCCACCGGTCCCAGAAGGGCATCCCGGGCTGTAAGTTGGGTCTCCATGACAATCACTGGGTCCCCGCCTGCCACAGCTTTAACCGCGCCATCCACAAGAAGACCAGAGGAGCGGGAGCCGAAGTGGAAGAGGAATATTAGTGCACATACACTTTTCCTGCGAGATTGTTTGGGGTAGGAGGAGATTCTCATGCCTTGTGCTGTTTACAGTGTATATAATTGTCGTGGTTATTTTTTTTTTGTTTTGTTTTGTTTTCCACAGGGCTATGAAACTGCACATACTCAAACACAAGAGCCTTTACCTTTTAGATTAAAGAGAGCTTTTAGTCCATCTCTGTAAATAACACTATAAAAAAACCCCTAATTGTACATACAGAGTCTACAGCTGGCTGAACAAGGTAACCCCCTACAATGCAGCTATCCCAGTGTTGCGGCTATAGGTGTGTGTGTTTTTAAGTGTCTTGTTTCAAAATCTGTATATTCCGCATAATATATGAATGTTTCTGAGAAGAAACTCTAAATAGGTAAAGGTCAACTTGTTTAAAGAAGCTGCAGACAACTTAACTGGACAACCTGAAACTTAGACTATAGAACAGACCCATTATAGTAGCGTGGCAGTGGATTATAAAAATAAAAAAAAAAAAAGAGATGAATATTATTGTATAGTCAGAATATAAAAAAAAAAAATTCTTGTCTACCTTACCCATGTTGTCTGGTTTGGTTTTTTTTTTTGGTTTTTTTTTTTTTTTTTAAAAAAAAAAAAACGTGCATTCTAGATCTGCCTTACCAGACTTTCTCTTGTAAGACTTTTGCCCCGAAATAAAAATGCTGTAAAACACGTGGCAGAAACTTGGTGCTGTGCTGTAGTTCAGACGTGCAGTGAGCTTCCTCTGGCAAACCTGTCCTACTAACAAAGGAACAAAAAAACCCACCCCCCAAATCTCTATTCCTTGGAGAACTCCCTGCTGTAACATTCACAGATTCCAGCTTTTCCTTTCCTTCCTGTCAGCCCTGCGTGCAGCAGAGGCTCCTGTTGTCGGGAATTCTGGTGCTAGGTGTGTAAAGCTTGCAAAAACAGGGACTTTCTGGTCATCTTGCTTCTTGGCTCTTGTGTGGGTACCTGTCTTGTTCCCTGGAAGCTCCAGGACAGACTGTGGGTCCAGTAGGATGGAAGTGGAGTTGCCTTGGCTCCCTGATGTGCTGGAAGCTTTGCCATCTGCTCTATGTGGAATTTGTCCCTTTCAACAGAAATGCTTGCAGTGCTTCGCCCTGCTCTGCTGCAGCCTCTGGCATCTCATTCCTTGGGTGTGAGTCGGTGCTTTCCAGGGGAATGGTGACGGTTTGTGTTGGGTGAACAGTGATTGCTCAAACTGGGAATGGGAGTGGAGCATGGCATCTGTTGCAGTATTTCCCTGAATACATTCCTCTCCTGCAATGCTGTGATCCAGACTCCAGTTACACCCCTCTGAGGGTGAGTGGTTTGGAAATCTGGGAATGGACCCTGGACAATCCAGCAGCCACGTTCAGCTCCTGGGAGGTGAGTCAGTGGAGCAGCAGCCCTTTTTCCAGGGAGCCAAGCGGAGCGTGGCAGCTGTGCCTTTGCACTGTCCAAGTCCCTTCTCTCCCCACACTTGGTGCTGTTTCTCTGCCCCTTCTCCAAGGCATGGATGGACTCCTGGACCATTCCAGATGGAGCAGCCAGAATCTCTGACCTGGTGCAAGAAGAGCCAGTGCCACCTTCCTACGGGGCTCATCCCAGGCCTTCCTCTGCCCTGCAAACCCCAGGGGGCACCTGGAAAGGGCAGGAGCTCTGGATGAGGTGGCCCTGCCCCTGGCTCATCGTGTTGGCAAGGTGTGGAAAACTGCTGGCTGTGGAGGCCAGGCTGAGCTTCCCACCTCCCTCCGCTTCACCTGCACTGGGATCACATGGAGTGACCCACCTGGTTCCGGAGCGAGGACAGAGAGGGTTTGAAGGCGGATGCTTTTATTCTTTCCCTTAACTGTGAGAGAAGGAAAACCGAGCCCTTGCAGCCTGATGAAGTGTGGGTTTGATGAGCTCAGGGAGATTTAAAGGATGTGCTGGGTTTATTTTTTGCCTTTACCTGCTCCTGCCACCCCGGGCATCAGACACCCCTCCCTGGCTGCTCGGCCTCCCTGTGCTGCAGACATGATGACAACCACGAGGAATGAGACCAGGAATCTAAGAGGAGGGTGCGGCCCTCCTTGTAATCGGCTGGGAAGAGCGAGAGGAAAAGCAGGATCCCTGGTTAATCCGTGACTTCATCCCATAACGGGGTGCAGGCTTCACCCAAACTTCCATCTGCTCCCTCCGGATGAGCAGCAAAGCAACTGCCAGGCTGTTGTTTGGCCAAAGCCATCGGCATCAAAGGCCTCCAGCTTGATTTTGATTAAGGGAAAGGGGAAAGAAGCTGCTTTCCTGCCCCCCACCCAAGACTCTGGAAAACTTGAGGCTGAGCAGCAGCGAGGAAAGTCCCTGCGAGGCTGGAACGGAGCAGCAGAGGAAAATATTTTGTAATTAGATAAGGGGCCAGTGAGGTCATTTTTTTTGGAACAGAGTGTGAGATCTTGGTCACCTTTGTTGAACAAGGGGAAAAACAAGGATAAAATAATATCTTTAGGCTATTTTGTTCCTTGGAACAGGTAAATCTGGAGGATAACTTGTTATCTACCCTGCCCCATCCCTGCCCTCCCCCTGAGGTGGCTGGGGAGCGTGGGCTGGTTTATACATCATTTATTACATTGTTTGCTGGAACTGTCCCTGTTGCACAGCATTGCTGTTAAAAATTTTTTTGCAGAACAAGCTTTTGCATCCAGATGTGGGTTGGTTCTGAGTGTTGCCATGCTGAGCTGCCTGCAGGCTTTTTCTTTCCTAAAAAGTAGTAAAGTGCAGATTTCTGTTTCCTTAACGGATGGTTCAGGGAGAACCCAAGGTCCAGTGAACTTTTTTGTTTCCTACGAGTCAATTAAAACAACAATCCAGTGTTGGATTTACAAAATTCAGTGTTTAGAACTGAGGACGAAGGACTGCACCATGTGCTTGACTTCCCTGCCTGGGAGCAGTTGGAGTGTCTGGACTGAATTTCCAGATATGCCAGCGAAGAAGTTGTAATAACATTTCCATTGTCTGTGAGCTTCCAGTTTTCATCAAGCTCTGGGACTCTCCTGGCATGGACACCACAGAAAAAGCTGTCCATGGCTGAGGCTTGTGTTTGGGCTCTTGCTCCATCCTGGCTGTTCCTGCAGCAGCTTTTCCCTTTGCTGTGTCTCTGCTCCCTGGGATGAGGTGCTGAGGTGCTGCAGTGGAGCTCAGGTCACTTCCTGCAGTTTCTGCCCCTATGGCAGCCCCTGGAACTGTCATTAGGGCCACGGAGATGCTCTAAGGGCTGGAGGACCTCTATTATGGAGAGAGGGTGGGAGAGCTGGGGGTGTTCAGCCTGGAGAAGAGAAGGCTCCAGGGAGACCTTAGAGCCCCTTCCAGTGCCTAAAGGGGCTCCAGGAGAGCTGGAGAGGGACTTGGGACAAGGGCCTGGAGGGACAGGACAAGGGGGAATGGCTTCAAACTGACAGGACAG